ACAGTGAGGACCAGAGAGAGAGAGACAGTGAGGACCAGAGAGAGAGACAGTGAGGACCAGAGAGAGAGAGGGGAGCGACAGATTTAAAGAGAGACAGAGACAGAGAGAGGAGGAGGGGTGAGAGAAAGTGATGCAGGTCTTCTTACCTTCGACTCAGATCTGCCACATGTTCCTGAAGCCAACTGCTGCTGGCCACTGGAGGGAGGGAGAGAGAGAGAGATGCCTTCAATGAACATCTGACCGTTTAAAACAAACAAAAAAACAACAAAGCAGTTTTCATAAATCAATATAATCTGTCAGGGAAACCAGGTTTCTCAGGTTTTCCATAATCAGGGTTGTGTATTAGTTATAAAACATCCTTTTCCTCAGTGGCTGTAAAGACACTTTATGTGTGTCACTGGGTTTCTTTTTGGGCAAAGAACCATTTTTTGCAGAAGTTTCCAGTCATCAGGGGGCAGTAAATTCCTGCACTCACGGTCAGATGCATGTAGAATGATTCAGGCATGCATCTATTATTCACACGTGACAGACTTGTCATTTAGAATGTTAAGGTGTCAAAAATCTAAGCATTAAATTGCAACATGAAGGTAATAACTAAATGCTGGTTGTTGCTTTTCTTAGAAATACATGAAAATGAATAACACAACTATCAACTATTTTGTGCATCAATCTGTTAACTGTTTAGTTTAGAAGATGTCAGAGAATGGCTTCGCACGACAAAACAAAACTCAGACACATTTTTCTAATAATAAAATACAGAGAAAAAGCAGAAAGATCTTCACATCTGGAACCAGAACATGGTTATAATAGACTTCCAATGATTAAATCCAACAGCTGCTTTAGCTCTGGTAAAAGGTAACATTCTAATCCAAAGACTACAACAGTGTGCTCGTGGAGGATCTTTTTTGTCTCAGAAGCGACATATAAAGTCCCTATAGTCTGACATGAACTGAAGAGCCGAACATCTGACAGTTTCACATGGAGATGGGAACAGAAACATCTTTCTAGTTCAATGCTGCATGAAATATTAAGACACAGCTGTTTCCCTTCACAGCTGACTCCGTCAACTCTGTGCTATAGATTTAAGCATCTTCTGGAAGGTTTTCACGTCAAACAATCCCACAAGCTGCAGCACCAAGTTTCTAATAATTCTATCACATGTGGGAGCAGGTTCCAAATCTCCTATTATTGCATCCAGAATCTGATTAAACAGAGTTGGGGCGGGGGAGCAGTCACCCTCTTCGTCACGGTGAGGGTTAAAAATACTTCTGGGAGGGGGAGCAGGCGGATCACCCACTCGTCTTTAAAAAAAGATAAGCGCTCTCGCTCCGCTGCGTCGTCCCACCTTTAATGTTTGGCGACAATGCGAGACCCGGAGGCTCGGCATCGGGTCAAAGGCCCTTCACATCCCATCCTGCTCAGACCCGAGTGCGTGTGTGTGTGTGTGTGTATGTGTGTGTGTGGAGGTGGGGGGGGTTTGTTTGTTTTGCTAGCAGGATGAGTCAGTCCAAACAAACATTTTAATGGAGTGACTTATTTATGATCTGTGTGTACGAGGAGGGCAGACAATGTTTCTGAGTGCGAGTGTGTGTGTGTGTGTGTTGGTTAGTCTCTCTGCCCGCCTGGCCCTCTGGCACACTACATTACCACTGTCTGGAACATGGTTGCATAATGCACTTTTAGTCTCGCTCCATCAGAGAGTGTGTGTGTGTGTGTGTGTGTGTGCACACTGAGTGAGAGATAGTGTGTGTTTTGGCAAAGTTAAGTGCCTGTGTGTGTGTTTGTGTGCATGTAGTTTCATCCCCCTCCCATTCCTAAATGTCAGATGTTAAGTGATGTTGAGACTGCTACGAAGGCAAGAGCAGACAGCTGACACACACACGCACACACACACTCATGCGCACACACTGACCTCATTCATCAGTAGACTGTAGTGAGTCAGCCTGAGATGAGAGGAAAAGAGAGGAAAGGACAGGAGGATAGGAGACGAGCAAAAAGGAGAGAGGAGGAAACAGGGCAGAAGAGGAAGAACTGGAGGGAAGACACGAGGACAGAATATTTGGTTTTCAAAATCCCTTTATTGAACCATTACAAAGAGGAGAGGAGGAAACAGTGAAAGGGAGAAGAGAGGAGGAAATGGGGAAGCGGAAAAAATGTGGAGAGGGTGAAATGGAGGACAGGAGAAAACAAGAGGGAAGAGGAAAGATGAGGGGAGAGAGGAGTTAAGGGAAGAAAAGAGGATCTTTCAAATCTGTCTTTCCTCCCATTTGCTTCCTTCCTTCAAACCTTCATCTCTTTACAGTAACTTACATCTTGGGATGGGTAGTGGAGAGGAAAGGAAGGGAACAAGGAGAATCTGGAGGGACTGGAGTATGAAAGAGGAAAGGAGGGATCATTGGATGAGGATGTTTTATAACCGATGTTGCTGGAAAAGCACATTCTCGCTTCCGTTTCATAACTCTCTCTTCTTCTCCTTCTTCATTCTCTCTTCTCATTCCCTCCTTTTCCTCTCTCTCTCCCAAAATACTGACTGGCCCAAGGGACCCTCTGTTTTCTAAATGTATGTGTGTGTGTGTGTGTGTGTGTGTGTGTGTGTGTGAGACAAATCTGTTTCTCCATGCATGAACATTTGCATGTTTCATTTAGGTGTGTATACAGGTACAAATGAGTGTATTCTATTGTCTGCAAATTAGTGTGTGTATGATAGAGGCAGCAGCCTGTGTGTGTGTGCGTGTATGTGTTGCAGTCTTTCCGTATTAGCAGTAGACTGAGTCTCAGTAAGGTTAATATGTCCTGGGGTCGACACTGGCCTGCCCTCCCCGTCTGCATCTGTGTGTGTGTGTCTGTGTGACCTATAACTTGTGTGTCTCACTATCTTACGTATGTTGTGTGTTAATAAAGTCGGGATGGTGTGTGGGTCTCGGTCTGGTCTCTGATGTGTTCATGTAGATACAACATGTATGTGTATATTTGTACTGTATTCGTGAGGAAAGGTGATGTGAGACTCTAGTCATCTATTTCAGCGGACATTGTTCCAATGATCCTAACTGTATGCGAGTCTCCATGTTTCTGTGATGTTGGTCATTCTGTTAGAGGTTTGGTTAATGTTCCTAAATGAGATAACGGGGCATTACGTTAACTATCCCATCGAGCTGCATTTCAGTCCTTTAACATCAGGCTCCACTGCAGCACTGGAAAAGTCTTCTTGCTCTTGCTTTTTAAAACTTTGTGAAAGAGACAAAAATGCAAAAATAAAATCCATTTGTCCTACTAGATGTTTTTTTGTTTTTTTTATGAGCAGAAGCTTAAAGAAGTCTGGCCAAAGTCATGCTGAGGCTGACATTATTCTGCAAAAGATGCTGCCTCTCCAAAGTTAACAACCTATTATTTAAGTAATCAATAGAATAATCTAAGAGAGTTTTCATAACCGATTCATCATTTAATTCATGCCTACATTCTCCGTTTCGAGCTTATCCGTCGTGAGGAAATGCTGAATTTTAAATTGTATACGTTTGGGTTTTGGACTGTTGGTCGGAAAAAAACATGATGTCTGAACAAGTCAGCTTGAGCTCTGGGAAACTGGGGTGGGCATTTTTTTTGTCAAGCATTTTATAGCCCAAACAATGATCTAAAAGCGGCCAGCGGTTCAATCGATAATACAATGAATCGTTACTTTAATTTGGTAGCTGTGCTCCCAAATAACATCTTCTGTTTGAATCCAGTTCACAGGCGGTGTTGCATGTCAACTTGCACGTCATACTTCCTTTCTCTCCGTGCTGCAAAAAACACCCTAAAGTAATCTTTTAAGAATAATTTGAAAAAGTCATATTGTCATATTTTTAAGACGACACAACTGCGTTTGGTTGTACAACTTACTGATTCCTGCAATTAGGAAAGGACTAACCTCTGATCCACTGCCGCCATTTGTGATTTATCTACTGGCAAATCAGTGAGCCAGCATTTGATTTTACTTCAGTAATCCTCCAAAATATAACAAAAGCCAAATTGTCCCTGTTCCCAAGTGAGGGGGAGGATTACCAAACCTCAACCGTCCAGGGGACAAAACACAAAAGACACACAAAATAAACCACTAATCCACCGTCTTTAAAACAGTGTACGCTGGTGCTGTGCCTGACGTGAAGCTGCTCTCCAGCACGAACACACAGCGGGATGAAGTGGTTAAACTGGGGTCGGCTGTACCTTCTGAGACGTAGGTGAAGGGCTTGTTCCTGACGGACAGCAGAGTCAGCAGGTTGAAGAACAGAGCGACGAACGTCCCGACCAACAGGCGGCCGCTGCAGAGACACACAGAGAAGGACGGTAGTAAGACAACGTCCGGTTAACGGGGCTGTCCGACGACAAGCATGTGGATCAAACCGAATGTGAACAAACAGTGTACATGTGCCTGTAGCGGGGAGACGCTGAGAGGGAAGCGCATTTTGGGAAAGATTCAGAGGACACAAAGGAAACAAAAAGATGTCATTTCTGCCAGTTTAAACATTTATTTTCTTGTTAAGAAAAGTGTCTTTTACTTTGTGACTCAATGAAACTTTATTAGGTACATCTCATGCAATCCAATCCAACCCAACTGTTCTGCCATTAAGTCGATTTTTATGTTGATTACAATGAAGAGGCTTTTTTAAAACAATGTATGCTAGAGCTGTGTTGAGTTGACTGTACAGGTGTACCTAATAAAGTGGTCACTGAGTGCAGAGCACTGTTTCTCAACAGTTAGGTGGTTGATGGTAATATTTTAGGGGGCCCGTGAAAGATTTTTGAGATGAATGACTCTAGAAAAGACAAACAGTTAACTAATTCTAACCTTTATTAAAACATAAAACACTATTATATGACAAATGTAGCGGATGTGGGTATAACATTCCTTCCTCAAGACAAGCCAGGGCACTTCAGGTCACAGCTGTGTGCATAAAACATGCCGGCTGTGGAACGCTGTGCTGATTAAAGCTGAAGTTTGTCGGTTTCATAAGACGCATATGGGAAAGCCGATCAAAGATGTGTCACAAAGGAGTCCAGACATGCCGACATTGTGCACTGACACGACTCCAACGTGCACTGGGAAGCGTTTCAAAGATAGCACCTCTTCCAGTGGCCTGTACACAAAGCCAGACTTTGTAGTACAAAGTTCAAGCTTCACGTATGCTCGTTGTAAAACTGCGCTTCTCAAAAGTATTTATTTTCTTTCTCTTATAGGAAAGTTTAAGAGCAACAACCGCTTAGTTCATATTCCACACATATCCAACGGTCTAAAGACATGACTGGGACTTTGTCTTTGAGAAAGTGTACAATATTTCAAAAAGGGCTGAGAACAATACAATGCACAGGTGGTGTACAAATATGCACAAATTATTCCATAAATGAATAAGCTGATCATAAAAAAACAAATAAAAATCCCAATTGTTATCAAATGTTGAGACAAACTTGCTATTTTTGTGTATAAAACACAAAATGTTTGCCGTATTATTTCTCATTTCTGTTTATCTTATAAATACAGATCTCTGCACACAAGCACAAACAGCAAACACACAGGACGGTACTCTTCAACATACTAATCACATGGGACAATCCATTTAAGAGCCTAGAAATTGGTCCAAACAATCAGCAGGGGGCGAAAGGCTGCCCGCCGGTGAGCCACAACAACTGGGTGATGAACCCCCACCTCCCTCTAAGAACAGATTAAAGAGAGAGAGAATGTGAGCCTCTGTCTCTCTACCCAGCAGACACCGGTCCCTCCGGTTAGCGGTCATCTCTCACGCCGGTCAATCACAACCACTCAGAGAAGAAGAGAAGGGGTGAGAAAGAGGAGGGGGAGAGGAGAGAAACAAGGGGGGGGGGGG